CGTGAGGCTTGCTCCGAGAACTGGTAGAGGGCAGCCTTGTACCATCAGCTCCAGGCGCTGCACCAGAGATCGCGACGGCCGGGTGTTTGGTCGGCTTCGGCTTCCAGAGATGCCGCTTCGCGGCCCCGGGACCGTCGACGGGGAAGTAGTCCCGGGGAAGTGGTCGACAGGAGGGGAAGGAGGAGGAGGAGGAGGAGGAGGAGGACGAGGACGAGGAGGAGGACGAGGACGAGGACGAGCAGGAGGACGAGGAGGAGGAGGACGAGGAGGAGGAGGACGAGGAGGAGGAGGAGGACGAGGAGGAGGAGGAGGAGATCCCTGGGGGCCGACGTCGCGAGACAAGAGTTGCAGCCGTCAGGAGAGGGTAGAGGGTGGCCTTTTGGAGCGCTCTGTCGCTGCTGCGGCCCGTGGCCCCGCGGCTCGCGGCGGCGCCAAACACAGAGGAACAAAAAAGGGCATGAGCACACAGCCAAGTCGGAGACACGAGGACCGCTTTGGGTTCGGAAGAGGCCTGCGGTTCCTCGGGTCATTCCGTGGCCGTTTCTCGAGCCCTCCTCGTGCAACCAGGCCCCTCTGGTGCCAGAGAGGGGCTCCTAGGCAGTCTGGGCGGTGTCATTGAGGCGGGGAGCACAGGCGCAGGGAGAGAGGAGGAGGAGGAGGAGGAGGAGGAGGAGGAGGAGGAGGAGGAGGAGGAGGAGGAGGGAGGAGGAGGAGGAGGAGGAGGAGGAGGAGGAGGGAGGAGGAGGAGGAGGAGGAGGGAGGAGGGAGGGAGGGAGGGGAGGGAGGGAGGGAGGGAGGGAGGGAGGGAGGAGGGAGGGAGGGAGGGAGGGAGGGAGGAGGAGGAGGAAGGAGGAGGAGGAAGGAGGAGGGGCTTCGTTCCTTCTGTAGCGTTCCTGATTTCAGTTGCCCGTCTGTACTTTCTCGGCGGTCCGCGCGAATCTCGAGGAGCGGCGCTGGAAAACCCCTCCTTGGCGCGCCGAGCGCGCCAGGGGCGGCGCTGGAGGCGCCGCCAGGGGGCCCCGAGCGCCGACCCAAGATGTCCACACGGACCGCCGCGGAATTACGTGTCTGTGCCGTGTTTGTTTGTTCGAAGCAGATGATGATGATGATGATGATGATGATGATGATGATGATGATGATGATGATGATGATGATGATGATGATGATGATGATGATGAGGAGGAGGAGGAGGAGGATGATGATGATGCTGGTGGTGATGGTGGTGATGGTGATGGTGATGGTGATGATGCTGATGCTGATGCTGATGCTGATGCTGATGATGACGATGATGATGATGATGACGACGACGATGATGGTGATGGTGATGATGATGATGATGATGATGATGATGGTGGTGGTGGTGGTTGTGTTGACGATGATAATGATATCGCTGATGATGTTGATGATGATGGTGATGGTGGTGGTGCTGATGATGATGATGCTGATGGTGATGGTGTCGGTGGTGATGATGGTTTTGGTGATGGGGATGGTGATGGTGATGGTGATGACGAGGAGTAAGATGAGGACGATGATGATGATGATGATGATGATGGTGGTGGTGATGATGCTAGCAATGATGATGATGATGCTGCTGATGATGACGATGATGTTGATGACGATGATGATGATGACGATGATGATGATGATGCTGATGGTAATGATGATGGTAATGATGATGGTAATGATGATGGTAATGATGATGCTGATGCTGGTGCTGGTGATGATGATGATGATGATGATGATGCTGATGATGATGATGATGATGGTGATGGTGATGGTGATGGTGATGGTGATGGTGGTTGTGGAGGAGGAGGAGGAGGAAGAGGAGGAGAACAGTGGGAGGAGGAAAAGGAGGCGCACGGCGAGAAGGATGCAGACTGCTGCTGGCCGCTGCCGCTCGCTCGTTGCCTGATTTTGCTTCTTCTTGTTGTTCTTCCTCGTCTTCCCTCTTTTTCGGCTTGGCGCTGCTGTCCTGGAGACTGCTTTTCTGACAGTGCGGCTTCATGACCATGCGACATTTGTCATCGAAAGAGGCAATGACCCAGGTACTCTCGCGTCGTGAACAAATCATGACGGACGATGTTTCGTCGTTTACAGCCTTCGGGGGGGCCTCGCTGGGCCTCGGGACTGTCAAGAAAACGACTCGGGATGAAACACCGTCCCCGGTGAAAGGGTTGGGACTTCACAGGATGCCGCGTACGTATCGAAAAAAACAAGACATCGTACGTCAGAGGATATTGTGTGGTCGTCGGCGAAGGCGGTGAGTGATGGGCTCTGCGACGGGTTGTGGGAACGAGATCGTTCCAGCAGGATTCTATGTGGGGGCAGCCCCGCTACGGAGGGGGGTTGGCCTCTCCTACTGGTGCCCGAAGCCTGCGGAGGGTCCGAGCAAGTCGGCGGAGGGATAACCACGGCAGCTAGCCGGCAGAAGTGTGGCAGAAGTGTGGCAGAAGCTCCTCAGGGCGCCAGGGACGGGGGTACAGCGCACGGGGGCACGGGGAACGCCGATCTACACGTTCGGCTACGTCCCCGTTTAGGGGGCCCTGGGCGCCGTAGACGGGGGCACAGTAAACGGGGGCATATGAAGAAGCATAAGTCCTCGTTTAGCTAAACCACCGTTTAGGAAGCCCCGAGCTCCTCCTCCTCTTCCTTTTCCCCTTCCGCCCGACCCCAATCCTCGTCCCAAATGAGGGGGAGGGAGAGCAGGGAGAGGGTAGAAGGAAGAGGAAGACGTCTTGGCTCCTGAGTATTCGAAGACGCCTATGGCGAACAATCGCCACACCCTGCCTCTTGGAAAATCTGGTTGGCCAAACGTTCGGGCCAACGTCTGGCCAAGCTGTCGCAACATGTGTTCCCCCAGCCGTTGCGGAAACCCGTGGTTGGGGGAACACCTGGGGGAGGAAGGGAGGAAGGGAGTGAGGAGGATGAGGAGAAGGCGGCCTCTTGGGGGCGTCCTGGACTCTCTAGGGGCCTCCTGGGGGCCTCTCGGGGAGCCCCTCGGGCCTCTTTGGGGCCTCTGGTGGGCTCTGGGGGCCCCTTGACAGCATCCTGGGCCGTTCAAGGGCTCTATTGGCCCGTCTGACGCCGTCTTGGGAGGCCATCCGGGCCCTCTTGGGACGCTTCGGGGCCGTCTTAGAACTCCCTTGGGCCGTCTTGGGGCCCTCTTGGGGCCTTCCTGGGGGCCTCTTGGGCCATCTTGGGGCCACTGTGGCCCGTCTTGAGGCTCAAGCCATTTTGGCTCAAGCGTAAGAGCATTCGTTCTGAAGCTGAGGCTGACACACACCCAATAGTTCAGAATGGCTTCAGAGTGGACGTGCCATCAGTGTACCTTGATCAATCAGCCAGGCGCCACATTCTGCGCGGTTTGCGACGCGCCCTGCCCTGCTTCTGCTGTTGTCGACACCGCTTCCGCTGGTGCTGGCGCTGCTGGACAAGTTGGTGCAACTCCTTCAGGTGGGTGCCGACGTCCTCGGCCTGTTGTGGAGCCTACACCGAAGAAGAAGCCGCGTATAAATATGAAGGGGTTCTCGGAAGCGTTGGACGACAGCGCCTTCTTGGACTTCTTAAAGGCAAAGCTGCATAAGAAAGATGCAGGTGTCGTCAAATTGGTGGGTGAGTTCAGGTCTCTGCCAAAGAGAAGCACATGCGTGTTTTGCAGCACTCGCTTCAATCTCGCTCACCCTGGCAAATGCTGTGTACACCACCAGATCGACGAGTGGGAGCAAGGCGACGACTACAGGCGCGAAATCAATTTCAATGGCCGTGCTACCTACCACGGGACATGCTCTTTGTGTGGAGAGAGTGTGTCCGCTCAGGGTGGTGATTGCGAGGCCCCAGATGATTGTGAAGAAATATGTTATTCAGGGCCGCATGTTAGCGAATTTCCCGATGGCTACGGAGAAGGATCCGAGCATTCTACTTGAGACCGTTGAGCTGATCGTCTCCTTCTCTGACTGGGGCGATGCGAATGCAAATGGTTTCGGGAATGATGCACTTCACATGACACAGGGGACGCGCAAGTGTCAGTAGATGGCCCACTGGCGTGTAAATCAATTGAGCCGCCAGAAATTGACGCGTCTTGAGGCCCTCTCAGTTGCTTCTTTGGCCGCCTTGGAGCCAGATTGGTCGCCTCTGGAGCCGTCTTCGGCTGTCGGAGGCCATCGAAGACGAGAACTCGACAATTTTTCAAGAGCCCAAGGTCAACCAAGGATGACCATCTTCAGCCTCCTCAAGGGGACCTTTTGGAGCCCTCTTCGGACGTCTTGGGGGCCTCTTGGGCCGCCTTGAGGCCATCTTGGGCCGTCTTGGAGCAAGATTGGTCTGTCACGGGCCATATTGGAGCCACCCCAGCCTTCTTGGAGGCCATGATGGAGACTATCTTGGAGCCATATGTGGGCCATCTTGAAGGTGAAAACCCTTGCCAGAGGTTTTTCCGTGTGGCTCGCGGCTGGAGCCGAAGGCCATTGGGGGTTTTGTGGAAGGGTTCAGACAAGCAAAACATCCAGCACGCCAACAACCCGTATGGACATACCACGGGGGGCGGTGGATCGAAGATGCCTACGGCGAATCACCGGCGCCCCCTGCCTTTTGGAGACGCCCAGACGTTGGGCCGGAGTCTGGCCAACCTACTCAAGAGGCTTACGCCTTTCCGCCGACCCCCAGAAAAAGCGGGGAGTCCACGGTTGAGGTGTCGTGGGCTTCTTGGGCACTATCTCGGGACTCTTGTGGGCGTTTTGGGAGTTGTTCGGGGCTTTGTTGAGCCTTTTTGAGGCAGTTTGGGGTCCTCTTTTGGTCCTTCTCCCCCCTCCTCCTCCTCCTCCTCCTCCTCCTCCTCCTCCTCCTCCTGCTCTCCTCCTCCTCCCCTCCTCCTCTCCTCCTCCTCCTCCTCCTCCAACTCTCCTCATCCTCCTCCTCCTCCTCCGCCTCCTCCTCCTCCTCCTCCTCCTCCTCCTCCTCCTGCTCATCCTCCCCCTCCTGGGGCCCCGCCCGCCCCCCCCCGCAGCCATAGCGGCCCGAGCCCGCGATGCGGCTCGCGAGGCTCCAGCGCCGCCGCCTGCCAGGCCCCGCCCACGCCCCTGAGCCGGCCCGGCGCCCGCTGGCTCCGGCATGTCCGCGGGCGAGGATGCCGTCTTCGAGGTGGAGGACTGTAAGAGGGAGGAGGAGGAGGAGGAGGAGGAGGAGGAGGAGGAGGAGGAGGAGGAGGCGGAGGCGGAGGCGGAGGCGGAGGCGGAGGCGGAGGCGGAGGAGGAATTGGAGGAGGAGGAGGAGGAGAAGGAGGAGGGAGCAGGCGGAGGGAGGAGAAGGAAGTGGAGGAGGCGGAGGAGGAGGAGGAGGAAGGAGGAGGAGGAAAAGGAAAAGGGAAAAGAAACGGAAGAGGAGGAGGAGGCGGAGGGAAACGGAGGGAGGAGGAGGAGGAGGAGGCGGAGGCGGAGGCGGAGGCGGAGGCGGAGGCCATGGCGGAGGTGGAGGCCGTGGCGTGGGCGGAGGCGGAGGAGGAGGCGGAGGCGGAGGCGGAGGCCGTGGCGGAGGCGGAGGCGGAGGCGGAGGCGGAGGCTGAGGCGGAGGCGGAGGTGGAGGCGGAGGCGGAAGCGGAGGCGGAGGAGGAGGCGGAGGAGGAGGATGAGCAGGAGGAGGAAGAGAAGGAGGAGGAAGAGGAGGCGGAGGAGGCGGAGGAATTATCAGCAGAGGGAGGGGGAAGAGGAGGAGGAGGAGGAAGGAGGAGGAGGAAGAGGAGGAGGAGGAGGAGGAGAGAGGAGGAGGAGGAGGAGGAGGAGGAGGATGGTGAGGAGGATGATGATGGCTGATGATGAGGATGATGATGATGATGATGATGATGATGATGATGATGATGATGATGATGATGATGATGAGATGATGATGATGAGGAGGGATGATGATGATGATGGGAGGAGGAGGAAGGGAGGAGGAGGAAGAGGAGGAGGAGGAGGAGGGCGAGGAGGAGGATGTGGTGGTGGAGGAGGAGGAGGAGGCGAAGGAGAAGGAAGAGGAGGAGGCGGAGGAGAAGGAGGAGGAAGAGGATGAGGAGGAGAAGGAGAAGGAGGGGGAGGAGGAGCGGAGGAGGCGGAGGAGGAAGAAGAGGGGGAAGGAGGAGAGGAGGAGGAGGAGGAGAGGAGGCGGAGGAGGAAGGAAGGAGGGGGAGGGGAGGGGAGGAGGAGGAGGAGGAGGAGGAGGAGGAGGAGGGGAGGAGGAGGCGGAGGAGGGAGGAGGAGGAAGAGGAGAAGGAGAGGAGGAGGAGGAGGGAGGAAACGGAGAAGGAAGAGGAGGAGGAGGAGAGGAGAAGGAGGAGGAGGAGGAGGAGGAGGAGGAGGAGGGGGAGGAGAGGAAGGACTCAGAGGAGGACTCAGCCGGCGGCGACCTCGCCGCGGGCGTTCAAGGTTGATCGCCGCTGGTGGCCCAGAATCGGCCAAAACCGAACGATCCTGAGCAATCGCAGAGCTGGCGATCGTTCGAGGTTGGGCGATCCATGCCGTGTCAGAAACCAACGCCGGGGTCGCCATGGCACGATCATGCCGTAACGATGCTGCCACATTTCTCTCGTTTTGTGCCTTTGTGGACTCCTGGGAGACCCTGGCCGCCACGACTGGATTTGCATGGGGAGTCTGGTCGGAACGAACCCTGGGAGAGGTCTGGGGAGTGACGGTATCGGTATCTTTCTGGTTTCCCCGAGGACTTGCTCGACCACAAGGTCCCGAACAAGAGGAATCATCCGGATATTATCAATATCAGGAATGAATAACTCATAAGATACATTAATTGTCTTATTAATAATATTAGTATCAATAATAGTCATGCATCATAATGATACGAATGCTAATAATACTTAAAACTATGATTGATCATAACAAGTTTAGTAAAACAGCACCAGACATACTAATACTATGAAGGAGTGAGAATACGAACACTAATGCGAAACATAGTAATAATAACCAGAATAAGAATAACACTGATGACACAAAATGGTAAACATGATAGTCGTGAGAAGAAGACGAATCATACGACGAATCTTGCGAAGGCCTTGCGGCCGGTGCCGCCGACCCTGAAGGCAGGACCTCCCTCAGGACACCCGCTGGCGAACCCCCCAGGACCCCCCCAGGACCCCGGGCGGGGGCTGCATTCTAAACGGGGACCCCCCCACCCATTGGTCAGGGAAGGGAAAGATGGAAATGTAATCGACCTTACTACGACGCTTCTTTTCCTTGCTGCTCAATTTCCTTGGGACTGGCGACGACGCCGACGGCGACGACGACGACCAGGACGATGAGGGCCAAGCCTCTCGCACACGCCGAAGTGCTGGCGGATTGGCACCTGGAAAAATACAAACAGAAGACGACTAGTGATAGCAGTAGTAGTAGCAGTAGTAGTAGTCGTCGTAGTAGTAGTAGTAGTAGTAGTAGTAGTAGTAGTAGTAGTAGTAGTAGTAGTAGTAGTAGTAGTAGCAGTACTAGTAGTAGTGGTGGTAGTAGTAGCAGTAGTTGTATG